ATTACTTCATTTATTACCTAGACACACTAGGGGTCAACTCACATCCCCACTCCATGGCTGTATATGGTAAAAGCTAGAGAAAACATTACTGACAAGTAAGTTTATCTCCCAACACCAGCTTTAGAAAAGTATTTCATATACTTACTTTTTTTCTTTTTTTCACCCCTGTGGTGGGTGAGGTGTAGTCTTTGAAGTGTCAGACCCAAACTGTGTTGGCCAAAACTCCCACACTGTGAGTCAACACCAACCGTAGAGGTGAGTCTGTGCCCTGAAGCAAGTGCCAAGTGACTGGAGATGGTGTGGAGCTGAGCTGAGCGCTGTGGGGCTGCAGCAAAGGCAGCTGAGGTGGCGGGGCTGTCATCCCATCAAAGCAGAGCAGGTCGCCCACCCTTCCTAGTTCCTAAAGACTCGGCACTGCTCATGAAGCCTCTGAAGTTGGTCTCCTCCCAGTTGATTAAGACTCATAAATGTCAAGCCTGAGTCAGCAAGCCTTCACAAGCACTGGGTAGCTTTGATGTGTCATAAGAGAAAGCAACAGATTAGAGAAGCTCTGCAGTGTTCAAAGCAGATGCACAGCTTCACTCATGGACTTCTGTTCCCACCCAGTGCAGGGAGAGCCTGGTGCCTCTGCTGTCGGCTCCAGCAAAGTAGTCTGAGCCATGGCCAAGTCATTTTTAGAGGTTCTGCTCTTTCTCCAGGCAAACAAGACAAAGAGGAAAGGGGCTTAATACAAGAAATCATATCTGTGGGAAAGATTAAGCTTGTTTATTAATTCAAGCAAAATTTTCCAACTTGGGAAGAAAGGAGGCAAAGCCAGTAGAAACAAGCCTTATAAGAAACAAGCTTGAGTAAGAGAGAGATTTTAGGATTTACCCCAAACCAACTCCAGGGGGAAACAGAATAACAATTATAGACACATTCTCATCACATTTGAACAAAAAGCAATTTTATCCATAATTTTCAAATTCATTTTCCACTTTTTTTTCATTGTCCACTTTAAAGGTGGTGAAAACTCGTATTCTTTTCCAGAGTTTAAAATGGTATTTTTTAAATATTTCGTTGTCCAGACAAGTTCCTACTTGCTTCAATAGGATCTGCAAGCTTACAGGAGAGCACACTAATTCTCAGTCCACCCCTTGCTCTATGTGATAAAAAAAACTGTAGGGAGAAAAAGAGAGAGAGTTCCTTTTTAAACCACCTTGTATATGAAGTTGAAAACCAATGACTACAAATAGAAAACAGCAATGAGTTTTGTTTACAGATGTGAACATAAACTTCAATTAAAGTTGTAAGATGGTGGAAAGCATTCCAGGCTCACGCAGAGTTGGAGAGAAATTACAGATCTGGCTTCTGACTGATTTTGTAAAAATCCACGTCATTTTTTCATAACCTTTCTTTCTGGTAGGAAAGTTGGGATTTCAAATCCAACATGAATAAAAAAGGGCTTAACATGTGTTTGCAACACCAGTGGTGACAGATGTGAACCTGCTGCAGAAACGTGATCTGTTAGAGTACTGGGATACCACGATGCAGTTTATTAATAATGTCTGTCTTTTTACAATTTACAAAGCACTCTCACGGACATTTTGTTTAGTATAGCATCGAAGGACCCATCAGCGAGCCATTTTAATTTCCTTCATTATTCAAGAATTGAATTAAATCTTTGACGTGTTCATTTTATTTTTGTATGAGTCACAGTTTTACCTTTTTGAAAATTATTCTTTAACACTAATATCAGACCTTACAAGGATTTGTAATAATATCACTGTTTTAAAACATTAAAATGAATACCTCACTTTGAAATGCCACCAAATGAACCATTTTAAGTAGCCATGATTTTTAATTGAAATATGATAAACATATAAAATGTCCAATCCTTATGGAAATCCTTTCTTTTTATCATATTGGCAGGGCAATTTAAGTTCTTATTTTTTAAATTACATGTCCTGTTTTAACTGATTTATAGTAATTAAATTTGTATTTGAGTCTCATGATCTTTATTACATTTTGTGATATAATCATTTTCCATCTGTTTTAAATCTTTGTTAAATCTGACAAATATCTTTGTAACATATTCTTTGGAAAGAAACACTATCCTTTCACTTGAGAGCAATTTGTTGTTATGTTTGAATCAAGTTTGGGAAACTATAAGTAAGTTGCCATGAATTTAAATTGATCAAAGTCATAGCAACTGCACCTCCTGTTTGGAGGGAAAACATTAAGTTGGACAAGGATCTGAGGATATTCTGATTTGCAAATAGACAGTACAGTATTTCAGTGGATTGATGCTAATGGTGGAAGAGATGCAGTATATTATCATAACTTCCCTCTTTGACTTCATAATGAAGAGGCCTCAAACTGAGGTCCTAGAAATATCGGTGAGGCCATTGGTGACTCCATGTCTGCAACTTATTCAGATATGCTTGAGGAGCATAGGGGAGGAATGCCCTAGAAGGCAAGCAAGGGAAGGAAACCACTGGAAAATGAGAAAACCTGCTTATGAGGCTGAGATAGAGCAGACACAGCATTCTCAAAGACTCTTTCAGGGTCTCCATGAGATCAAAGCTATTTTTATAATAATACTATGATGTTTTCTAGAGTCTACATGAGATGTACATCATTCTGACTGCTAAAAGAATGTGTGCTCATGAATGTTTTAAATTTTTCTCAAATTTTTAAAATTAAATTAAATTTTTACAAACTTAATTGCTAAGTTCTAGTACGATAAATATCGACAGGTAAACTCACTTAAGAACTTGAAAATGAAAGGAGAAAACATCTGAAACAACGTCTGCTATAGCCCTATCTCACCTGTGACCTGGGGCAGGTACCAACATTTCTTGGCCCCATTTTCCTCATTTACAAAACAAGGGGAGTTTGTCTCACTGCCCATTTTATACCTTTAACACTAAGATTCTGTGACCCTCAAACACTGAATTGCTGCTATTGCTGCAGGAGTCTGCTCTGATCAGAGTTGAAGGATCACAGAATTTTAGAGACTTAGAGAAGTTAATTAACCTCCAGGGTCACACAGGCTGAGGAGTGGTGGAGCTGAGATTCAAACCCAAGTCTGTCTCACTGCAGCATCTAAGCATTTAACTATGCTACTGCATACTGCTCACTGAAGTGAGGAGCGCAGCACATAGGGGCAGGGGGACCCAGCTTTGCCTCTAGAGCCCAGTTGGAGTTAACAATTATGGATGTTTTCTTTGCTGGTCTTTTTTCTTTTGGGTCATTTGTAACTCTTTTATACTGTATGAAAAAACCTGATTACTTCTACTGTTTCTATGGTAGCTGAATCCTTCTGCATATCTGGGAACTGGGCATTATTAAAAATAACAAATTCCCTAATTTATAGATCCTACTCTGGGATTTTCTTGTTGTTTAAACATACAGAATAACATAGAAGTGTAAAATGCACTAACTTTCAAATAAATTTTGCTTCTTTCCAAAAGAAATTGCCACTTCAATGTTGTTTTCTGTTCATCTGTCATTGCAAGAAACTCATTTACCTGGTTAAAAAAAAAATCAAACAAGTATTTCCAAAGAATATACAGATAACCCATCTTGACAATAATGTGAAACTTAAGTTTGCTTACTAGAAATGAAATTTTATCCATAGTAATTATAGCTCAGTTCTCTTGATGAAGGACATGAGGCTAGCAAAGCTCTAAACTGAATCTCTGAAGCCAGTCCAGTGGCTTGGCACAGAAAGCGCCCCTCTTAACAAAGCAGAAAGCACTGAGGTTGCTAAACTTCAGGAGCAGGTTCTAACAATAAAAGCATCAAACCTAACATCAAGTGCACAAGCTAATCTCTGCTGCTGTGCTAGAGTTGCTGGATTGATACACGTGGGTACATGAAATGCTGCCAAACTCTCCCCATGAAGGACCCTGCTCAGTGTCTCCATGTGTTGTTTTGCCCATTGTTATCTGACTATATAAAATGTCATGTTTATTCTCCACTGTGTTCAAGGGCCTCTCTCATTATTCCTAACAGTTAATGTTAGCTACAATTTTAATATACAACACATAATTTATTTGTTCAAAAAATCAAGATTGAATTTCCCCAGACTTCTTTATTAATTAATTAACTTCTATCAAACGCTCACCAGAAGAGCCTATATTTTGGGAGAAGAGAATTTAATTTGGTATTATTTCTAAACATATTTTCCTTTTTTCTATTTACCGTGCAGCCCAAAGTCTCCTCAGCAACACTTCCTGTGAGACCGCAGGAATGGAGGGTACCTGTGTGATCAGTAAGATCAATTAGCATATCGAAGCTGAGAAAAACAGATTTAAATCCCAAAGAATCTTTGTTGCAAGTTGTACAAGTGCTGGATGCTTCATTTACGATGTAACCACAACCTGAACTGAAAAGAAACAAAGACAATAAAATGTGAAGGCTCTAAGTGACAAATCTGACCAGAAGATCACCACTTAGACTTTTACTCTAGTCAGCACATGGAATATTTACGGAGTATAATTACAGAGTGCTCAGTGCTGAACAGGGTACACAATAGACCTATGAAATACCAAGGTATGATGCAAAATGATACAACATGCTTTCTACCCAGTCAACCTAATTTTCAGTATTCCTGCGTGGAAAACTGGGATAAGCCAGTTCTCCCACTATTCTTCCTCCTACCTTTCCCCATACTGGGGTTCCTGCCCAGGCTCACTTTCCTGCTAAGGCCTTCCTCTCCTGTTCCCTAGCCCTACCCTTTCCCTTCTCTGAACAGCTGCACAACTTAGACTTCCGCAGGGACTTATATCCTGTCACATCCTATTTCATGTTGTTGCAGGTATGTCTGTTTTATCTCCTGGCTCAGAGGTTGAGGGCAGGAATCCTGTCTTGTGCCTAGGAAGCCTGGATTCCATGAATACATACTTGGTCCTGTACTAGGTCTTCTGTATATCTATCTACAGAATAACCCTAGGGTTGGGGAGGTATACCCTCTAAATACTGTTAGTACTGCTGGTAACACATTTCCTCTCTTTCAGGAGTAATTACATGCTATTCTATATTTTTGAAGAAGGCATTACTTTAGCCAATTTGAATAGGAAGACTAATTCAAATTTCTCAAGCAGAGGGAATGATCTGAAGATACTGGTTTCTTGTAAGCCACAAATCACTTTCTAAGTAAATTTTAGATGCTTTTCCTCAGATCTCAGTATTAAAGATGTAGGGAAAAATAAGGGAGACAATACATTTTAATGAAAAAAATAGTTTTCAAAAAATAAGCACCTGCCTTACACAATTGCCTCCATGTTAGTTT